GTGAGAAGGTTTTGCTTTACAATCAATACTAAGGCTAAAAAGCACTGAAATAGAAAATATGTTTAAATAAGAGTCATAAATCTCCATTTGTACCAACCTCTGTAGTCAGGCACTAGGACATGGTAACCAAGAGCACTCAATATCTGTTGACACATAACACTTATTTGTCATCAGAATGGCCACAAAGACCTTTTAAAAGATTAATATGTTTTTATTTGTGATCACTCACTTTTGCAACTCCCACCCGATGAGGAGCTGCCCTGTTGGATTCATTAAAAAAAAAGCCACAGAGCCAAAAAATTGGTATTTTTTCCAAAGTGTGGAACCTCTACTCTTTGTATCTGCAGCTGTAATACAAATGCATTATTTATAATACCTCGTGCCTGTGTTTCCATGAAGATATATGAAAACTGGACTTCCATCGCTTAAAGTGTTTTGGTACCACGCCAAGTCTTTCCCCTGTGCCTCCTTCCACCGACTTTCAGGGACAGTGTGCCTTTGACGGTCAAAACAATGCACCGCTTAGAAATACAACCAACAACTGGATCATTAAAAAACAAGTGTTGTCCTTTAGTCTTAGGATTTTAAAAGCTATGCTAGGAAAAAAAAGAAAAGAAAAAAGTTTAACTTAGCTTATGCTCACCATACGCCGAGGGAAATTCCTTCCTCTGATGTTAAGTACATGTTGATGGTGTGATTAAGGGAGAAATCGGCAGGTCGGCTGAGGTCAACAAAGAATGGCAGGCTGACTATAAACAGGAAAAAAGAGAGGTGCTTTTTTTTCTGAGTAGCAAGCTAAGGATTTACAGTACATCCAAGCGGCAAACTGGATTTTCACATACTTCTGTGTGTGTAAACAAAGTGCTGAATTAATTCTGGAAGCATTTTCACCGAGAAAGGCACCACAACCAAGATAACAAAGAGGGCCAATAAGCCCCTTTTTAGCCACCCTTGGGACCTATAAGGAGACAGAAAAAAGACAGAAATAAAAACAATGTGACTGGAGACTAAAGATGGATATTGATAAGATCTTATTGATTGGCAATTCTGCTTATCGGACAGATTCTTCAACTATTCCTCCATTGATTCTTGTTCCACTGTCTTTGTGTAAAAGAAAATAGGCATACGCAGGTTTTCAGCATGTTCACCTGAGACTTAACACTGTGTACAAACAGAGTGGGAAAACACTGGCAAGTGACTCAAGGGGTGCAAAATCTCCATGAACATGACTCACTGTTTTTGCATCAGTCATATAAACATGAAAGCATTTACAAAAGGTATAAAACAGTCTGGAGGCGTACAATTTCAGTAGACTAGGCCGTTCCTGTTTGCACTGACACCGACTTTCTCTCTTTATCCAAAAATTATTATAAACTTCTGATGACTTTATTCCGCCTACCCCTAACTGTCCAATCTGTGTTAAAACACCAAATCAACACTACAGCAACACTAAAAAGTTTGGCTCCCACTTCTCCTCTTCATGACATCTAAATTCAGCTGCATCCCTGCAGACAGTTTGAATGACTCAGCAAATGTGAGAAGCATCAAGTGAGGGGAGAGGAGGACGGGGGTGTGGTGGATGAGTTTGTTGAGTGGTGCAAAAAAAAGTGCAGCTCTATTCAGGCAAGATCTGAGAAACAAAAGCCCCCCCCCAAAAAATAAATACATAAATAAAATCTCCCTCAGAGACACACTGAAGGGTCTGTGGACCAGGTTGAGCAGATGTACTTGGAAATGCTCACTTATTCCCACTGGTGTGCACCAAGCAGCTCTCCACATGTCCTATCAGTCTGTGAATGCAGCATTAATATAGAGACATTAATATGGGAGAGAAGAACTGAACGATCTAATCAAGACGGCAGGCTGTCATTGGAGTCAGTCTGGACTCCCTGGAGGCAACAGCGAAAAAAAGGATGCTATTCAGACTATTGCCAATTAATGGACAATACATCCCACCCCTTCCATTAACACTTTAATCAGCCAGAAGAGCCCTTTTAGTCAAAGACTGATCTCTCTGTACTGCTCGGGGGAAACATCTAGGAGGTCACTTGTTCCAAAAGCCATCACTATCTAAAGTTAACTCCTTGAATTTATTATTCAAATCTTTTCTGAAAAAATAAAGTTCACTGCAGATTTTTAATTAATCACCTCTCTTTTTTCCTGTTTATAGTCGGGCTGCCATTCTTTGCAGGATGACGCAATGCAACCTTTGTTTTACTGGGCAGTCGCTCTGTAGAAGATGCGTCTGTTAGTGATGTTATATTTTCACATTTTCAAGACACTTCCAGTCCCTGACACAGTTTAGTTTTCAACAACACTACAGGAATTCCTGTACTCTGGGAAAATGACTCACTTGTATTGTTCCACTAGTTACTGTATTGATCTGTAGACCATTATGCAAGACATATTTTCAAATGTTTACAACAACGCCCTTTACGAGTTTTTGATATTGTTGTCTTCGCTAAATGCGTTTGCTCAATGCTTCAATGTCCATTTAGCTAGCTAACTATGGAACTCCAAAGTGTTCAAAATTAAATAAATAAATAGGTCAAGATGAAATAAATAACTATGTGAATAAATAAGACACAGATATGTAATGTGAGAATGATATTGTGAAATCATGGAACACATTTTGAAAACAATGCTCATTATTGTGAAATATATTACATTCTGCTATATAAATTTACTTATTATTGTGAAATATTATTTCATGGTCATTATTTTTCACAATAACAGAGATTATTCCTGAGGCATTTTATTTATTTCCAGCCGTTTTTATTCCAAAATGACCTTTTTTCAAAGTCAGTCTTTATTTCAAAATCCCGTTTTTCCCGATGGTCTATTTATTTCATAATGCGACTTTTCAGCAGAATGACTTTGTCTGTCAATCAAGAGAGACAGGGCGGAGCCAGTTGTGTGATTGGTTGCTCCTTTACTCAGACATAAGTAATAGCACATGTCGATTTAGGTTTAATGGTGCAATGCGTCTCCTATGCAGCTGGCGGCAGTATGCAGCTCAAAATAAACTTAAGGCACCGACAAATGCAAAACACTGGGCGCGAATAACGTTACAGGTGTATCAATTCTTGTGAAGGGCATGGCTGCAGGAAACAAGTCCGTTTCTGAGTTACTCAAAGAACTTGCTAACCGCTTAGATTGAACGTCTTCACCTCAGTCTGAGTATTGCAGCAGTGTACTGGAGATGAAGTGGTCCCTGGTCCAAGTTCTCATCACAACCGCACAGGGTTAACGTTAGCAAATGCTAACGCTATCACAGCTAGCTCCACTCCACGAAACGCTGTTCAGGGTAAGTAACGATATGTTATTATTGCTTGGTTAGTCTGTCTGTCTGCCAAATATGAGCTTTTTAATCAGTTTAGTCACAGATTTTTTTTAATACTGTTTTTTATCATAGCAAAGAATTCTATAAATTAGGTAAGAGAAAATAATTGTCTTCTGGGTTAATGTCTGTATTACTATTTACATTGTTGTAGGTAATAGTTATTCATGACTGTTTTAAAGTGGCTTATCTTCTGTGCTAATATGGAAGACAAGTAATCTATGTGAAAGAAAAGAAAGCAATTTTAGTTCAACGTAGTGATTTTGTAAGTGGGTATAATTTGAAAATGCTTTTACTAGTACAGTGGATGTTCTTTAAATATTTAACATTTAAAGTGTGTGTCACTTTACAGACTCCAACTTCAGTTTTGGTTTGGTCTCACCGTTGTAGGTCATAACACAAACAAGTCGTCAAGTCAAGCAGCTGAGGAAAGGGCTTAAGGAAACCATGGTATGGCCGCTTCTGACAGAAAGATCAGACATCATTCCTCTTTTCTTACCAAGGGAATCAGAGACTGCTCCCTGTTGTGAGGTAAGGTCAGGTCACATCTTTTAACATCTGAATAGTAAAGGTATTTGGTTAATTTATGAAGGATGAACATTAATTGTTGACACAAAACACCAATATACTGTTTTGTATGCTTGGGTTAGTTGAACAGCTGGGTTACATTTAATAAAAATACACCTAATGTTGCTGATGCTCTTAAGACTACAAGATAAGTAAAGCTATAAAATGACTGTGGCCTGCCACAGAAGATGAAGATGAGGAAGAAGAGGAATGCTCTCGAGGATAAATGCAGAGTGGCAGGTTACCTTCGGTCCTTCATTGAAAATGGTAAGTCTGCTGCGATAGGTATTTTGCCACTGGTTTTCTCTGATTATACTTTGGTAAATTACATACAGTCCAGTGATCTTGGGTCATTAACAAAGTACACTATAGTAGAGCTGGGCGATATGAGATTTTTTCATATCACGATATATATATATTTTTTATAAAAGGACAAGAGCGGTGAGGTCTATCACAATAGTTTAATTTTTCTATTGAGAAAAAGTTATTTCGCAATACATATCGTTATCGTTCTATCGCCCAGTTCTACACTATAGTATAATTTTGTTTTGTTATTTGCTCCATGCAATACATAAGTGGTGGCATTATCAGTTGCACTAGAATTGTATGTAGACTACTTTTAGCTTTGTTAACATAAAAATATCTATAAAAGCTACAACAGCAATTTGAGTGGGGCAAAAATGTCTGGTGCCCTGTATGTAAGTGGTCATCTTTTATGGTATTTCTCTATAAAAGATTCAAAATAATGAATATAGGATGTCATTATAGTTTAAAACAATCTTCTGTTGCAGCATCTTGTGCACAACAAAAAGCCCTCATCAAGTTTTGGACAGGATGGGAAGTCTTGCCGAGAAATGACTGTGGAAGTGGTCAACAGCAATCTTCCAAAGTCTTCCACCGGTTTTGAAGTACTACGTCTTCCTGCACACTACTGTACCTATGAGTCATTTCTAATGGACATTCAGGTGTGTCTCAACTCTACTGACTCAGGTTTTGGTCTGGTTTACGATTGATTCCATAACCACATGGTAAAATTAGACCATTTCTTATTTCTTGCATCACATTACTGTGTTCAAAGAAACGGACAATCTAGTGAGTTCTAGTTCTTTTTAATACACTTGACAGTGAAAAATACACACTACAGGTGTGCATTTATGGCTTTTTTAATATAAACTGATGAAGAGTTCAGATATCAAAATCAGTTGTTCACTGTACATTATAAATTACACAATATGTTTTGTTTATACTCGCTACTGATACAAGAAAAAATTATTTGAATTAAGATGTTACACTACTGTACTGTGTTCATTGTATTAAATCTGCTCAGAGTTGACATGTACTGTATATCCAACCAAGAAATGAATATCATTAAAGTGACAGCTGTATAAAACAAATCCTGTTTTATAGCCACTCACTGTTTTGTTGAAAATGAAATTGGTTATGCTGTTTTGAGTCAGTATTAGCTACAAAGCTGTAGAAATTAAAAAAAAAAATAAAAATCCTCCTGACATAGAAACTGATTAAATGTAATAATGTCTTTCTACAAGTGATTTTGAAGTATTGGTAGCACAGCAGGGTCTTGTTCATTCAGTGCATCTGGGAGCTGAATCTCAGGAATGGTGATCTCATTTGATGGGCGGCGATTATGTTGTCCTGTCCAGTCCACACCATAATCCTCATCAACCTGAAAGAGCATGCACATGTTTTAAATCTAAACTGAAGAGGTGTTTCCTGCAGCTGTTCCTAGATGGACTTATTGAGTCTGCCAGGGCCTATGTGAGTTGCTTAGGCATTGGCTACCAACTAATTATTCATTCACCCATTCTAGGTCAGGATTGGTTCTCTTCAGGTATAACAAATTTAACTTTGTTTAAAGTATTGCCATCTATACCTGACAGGTGGGATAAAAAAGAATGGCTTGGGAGACACACAGCAAATCTCAAAGTTTTCCAATTAATGCTGAAAGAACCAAGGATGTAAATGTATTCTTGTTTTAGCTTTGCCGAAGACACCAGAGAAAGTATGATATCTATAATGCTGCTGAAATAGACAAAACCATTTCAATAAACTCGCTATTTAACATCAACCTTGTTATGCATTATCAGAGAACAATCAACTGCAAACAGTAATGAAACATTCAACTATGTACTATTTAAAGCACTAATGACCCTGTTGTCTAACAAGATGTGATAAGTAAGTAGACTGTGGAAAGCTGGTGGGTCTACTCTCTGTGTAAAAGGTTCCTACAGGCTCCACTGACCCCAGTCTCCGAGTTAACACACTAACAGCTAACACTGCTAAACGTGTCTCAACGCCGAGATGGCGCCGATAGCTTTAGCCGTAGCTGCCCCACTTTAGACAGTAACAAAAAAAAGTAAGCGATAATAATTCATTGTCAAACGTCATAATTAAGGTCAACATCTAAACAATGCTGTGTACAGAATCACACAGGTGCTCAATTACAGCATAAACTTACCTTAGACCTTCCTCCGTCATTTCCCTCCTAATTGTGCTCGGAGACACAGAAAACGTATCGGCAATTACCCCGATGGTTATCCAGGACAGCACTAAAGTCCTGAGTGCTGCACCGGGATTTCTAGACGTGGACGGCCAACATTTGAAGACTGTTCTTCCTCGGCGTATTCCAAACGAACACGGTGCTGAATTGCTCTTAAACCTTCGACAATGCTGTCATCGATGCTAAGATTTTGAAGAGCAATTATCATCCAGACATTTCAGAAACATCATCTAAACGACTCAAAACAGTATCTACAGGTAAATGATCCCTCTCTGATTTGCTTAAATGAGCAGAACTGGCTGAAGTTCACACCAGTCCGCCATCCTCCGTGACTTTTGACCTAGCACGCTGTTGCTAGCTGTAGCAGCCGTCCGCGGAGCCGGTGTTGTGCCAAAAACTGATTGTCTGCCAAAAACTGATTTCCGGTATTTGCCAAAAAGCGATTGCTCATATTTAAAGTGCTATAAGTAACTTGTTGGGCTATAATATGTTAAACATATGTCAAATGCATCCCTTATGGATGACATAAAGTCATTTTGAGCCACAAACAACATTCGTGTAGCAAGATACAAGCCGCAATCAGTTTTTGGCAGCGACTTTTATATAACCTTTATTTATGCAGTAAAAAAAATATCATTAACATTAAAAATGTATTTTGTAAGAGTAAGTTGCCCAACAGGACAGCAGAAATGGCAGCAAATATTACAATAGTTCTGTAAAAATATTTTAAGTGGGGATAAAGGACCGGATTGGTTATAATGTAAGTACAAGTTGTAAAGATACTTAAAAAACAGAATTTTTTAATTCTTTATGTAACCCCTTTGTATCCCCTGTTCACCGAAGTCTATTTACGAACATACGTAAAGATATTACACATAAAAAATACACAGAAACATTGGAAATCACTTTTTGGCAGACAATCACTTTTTGGCACAACACCGGTATCCAGGAAAACTAGTCGATGGTAAACGATAAGCCAATAGGTGCAAAGGTCCAGCCCACTTACATTGATTGACAGACAAAGTCATTCTGCTGAAAAGTCGCATTATGAAATAAATAGGCCATCGGGAAAAACGGGATTTTGAAATAAAGACTGACTTTGAAAAAAGGTCATTTTGGACTAAAAACGGCTGGAAATAAATAAAATGCCTCAGGAATAATCTCTGTTATTGTGAAAAATAATGACCATGAAATAATATTTCACAATAATAAGTAAATTTATATAGCAGAATGCAATATATTTCACAATAATGAGCATTGTTTTCAAAATGTGTTCCATGATTTCACAATATCATTCTCACATTACATATCTGTGTCTTATTTATTCACATAGTTATTTATTTCATCTTGACCTATTTATTTATTTAATTTTGAACACTTTGGAGTTCCATAGCTAACAACCTATCAACTCTATTATGGTCTAGTAAAAGCGTGCTTGTAGTAGTAACACCATATAGCGTCATGTAGTAAAATGCCTGTCCTGCGCTTACAAACGTGTAACAAACGGAATAACAAACTACACGCGAAAACTGTCTTAGTGCAGACTGCTAGTGGACTTTTAATTCCACTAGCCGTTAAAAGGTAAAAGCTAATGCAGTAAGGTAAGCTAGCTAACTCACTGTGGTGACCGTGTCCCCTCCTTCTTCTTGGATTTGGAAGTCCGCTGTACCCCGCTATTGTGGGAGGATGGCTCATTCTGTTTAACGTCCCTTCTCTTCATTATTTAAGGTCAGTTATATTGAACAAAAAGAGACTTTATCTATACAGCTAAACGTCTGGGACAGTTATATGGCTCGCAAGGAACTTCAGCAAACTTTGACCGAAGTCCGTTCAAAGACCTGATTCGCGGTGAAAGGGCGGTGCCAGAGGCTGTTAAGGTAGCACATGTTTGCACTACAAAGCACAATATATGTTACACACCTTAAGACAGCAATCTATACAGCTCGATACAGTCTGTGGCAAAGGGTGTCAAACATCAGGTCCGGGGTCAGAAGCAAGAGTCCAGTCTGGCTCTCTGCAAGGCTTTGTGAACAGGGGCATAAATCTTTTTAAAGCTTTTCCTCCTAATAAAAACCTGCGTCTTGGCCATTCACCACAACCACAAAGTAATTAAGTGATAGATAAACAACTAAATGATAGAAAAGGCTCAGTTCTTTCACTATCTACTAAAAAAAGCATTTAAAGGAGAGTTTGGGCAAAATACTTCCTAAAATTAAGTATTATGTAAGTACTCTTCGGGAATACTTCTCCAGGCTACCTGAAGTTCCCCAACATTACTGACTGAAATGCAGCCCCAAAACACTGCAGAGATTTAGGGCTGTAGACATTAACTGTTATCCCTCTCGCTTTACCTCCCTTGCACATATTGATCACTAATTGAACCAACAATTTAAAATGTGGATTCCTCACTCCATAAGACATGCTTCTTGTGTAATTTGACGCACCTCAGCCTTTCCTCCCTGTTTCTCATCATTAACAATGGCTACTTGCCTGCCAGCCTTCCACTGAGAGCATTTTTCATTGATCAACTGAAGGGCCAGATGCATCTTTCAGGTCCTGTGTCAGGTCTTTCCTGACGTTTTATGTGTTTCATGAGGACATGATTTTCTGATCCAGTATTTTAGACCTGACACTTCTTCTTTTGCCCCACACTTGTCCAGTATTGTGAGACTTATTTAATAGCGTGCTGAACACCGTGTAAAACGTTTTCAGCTAAGAGCCCTTAGAGAATCTCATTTCTGGTGCAAAAACATTATTTTATGTCTGTCAAACTGTGTTATCTATTGCATTTTTTGTAGATTCAGCTAAAGCAATGAGAACATATCATGTGTTATGATACAGGCTGCTAGTGATAAAGAGCCAAAAGATACCATTTAAAATTGTTTTTTTTGATAAGTGTGCTAAGTTATGCGCAGACAGAACTCCAGTCCATTCTTTGAGTAAGTTTATTTTAATGCTTGAATGATTCATAGATCAGCATTAAGTGACAAAACAAAACCTTTGAAAATGGCCAGCTACAAGCACTGGACTGAAACTGACAAGCCTGGAGAGCTACTGCTCAGGACCACTTTAAAATATAAAATATAAGATGCAAAAAAGAAAAAAGAAAGAAATAAAAACAGATTTGCAATCCACACCAAAAACACTAGTGCACCCTTGGGAGCATTTACTGATCACCGACACTCTGGGAGGTTTCTATACTGCAAGAAATATGTTTTAGATTTTTGGCAGCAGTCACATTGGTGGTGTGTTTGGGAGGAAATGTCAATAAAAACCTTCATGGGGAAAACCTTCACGAAGAACTGTCTGGAGGGTTAATATAAGCTGGGATTAATGCACCAAGCTTGACATGTTCTGGATCAGATAACACATTGAAACCACACAGCGTGCACAATTATTGGCGCACTTTGACTTTGTCATTATTTCTATATGCCTATTTTCCAGCTCTGCATCAGATGAATGATAATGATGATGAGGCCTAAAGTGATCCACACCTTGTATTAAGTTGCAGGATTACCTCAGCTACGCTGGAGCACAACCACCTCTGAGTAAGAGTTCTCTGTGCTGTGTTGTAGGGTTCTCTGGTCAAGCCTTGCTCTTGCACTGAAAGTCGTTGTTGTTGACTGGCACTGTATAAATACAACTGAACTGAATCAAAATACATAAAGACACGGGCTGCTGTTACTGCACATCATTACGCATGCATCAAAGTAGTTCACTGTGTATTGTCACTAAGCCAGCACACCTCTCTGAAGAGCATTTGGGAGTCTGCAGTTGCTGTCTTAGTGAAAGTTGACTCTGAGATGAAGAAACGGACACTCCACGATTCAAAGGCTTATGACAGTTATTGAAATGAAAAATTGCTAGGATGGTGGATGCTCATATTATACACGGCCAAAGTTTCAAATAATGAGGTGGGTGTATCCTCTATGAGCCAAAAGCTGGGGCTTCATAGGGATCTAAACATTCTTTTCAGTCATTTTTTTCTACTCTTGGCTCCATTAATGTGGTCATCTAAAGCACTCAGCTCTGGCTGTGAGCACAAACCACTTTCTTTTCTTTTCTGTGGAAGGAACAGCCATTGAAGACAAAGTTGGTTTAAAGTGATGGGGATTGCATTCTGTTTTTTTTTTTATTTACCTTTGACACAGCAACCCAACTTTTCTGGAATTGGTTTGTAATTGTACACATTTCTATTTCTAGAGAGAAAAAAAACCCTCCTTGCAATGCATTTGCTCAACAACAAAGTTGTGACAGCAGTTTTTTTTTTATTTCACATCTTCTTTACATTAAAAAAAAAATCCCCAAATGTCATACATTTTCCATCACAACAATCTGAAAGCCTGAATGATGTGGCATGAAAAGGACACTTGAGGACCACTCAGGTTATACAAAGAAAATGAGCAAACGTCTCCAGTAACTCAGTCAGTGTTTGACAGGTGATATTTAGGATGCACAGCAGAGAAAAGGCCTCTAAGGACCAGAGATGTCACTGAAATAAATTAAGAGGATGTTGCAGACGACTGCTTTAAGAACTGTTTGGCTTGGGCTGTATGAGGGAACCGACCGAGAGGACATTGGCTGCTGCGGTGGAGCCCTCTGTTAGCTGATGGGTCAGGTAAACACCAAAGGTCACCTAAAAAAAAAATAAAAAAAATCACAAAATAGCAGAGCGTTTGAGTTGCCACACACACACACACAAACAAACACACAACCACACAAAGCATCTACATGAAGGTGCAGTAATTGCTTTTGACTGACCTTCCCGCTGCGGTAAGCAGATAGAGACATTAGCGGCTCTTTTGTTTTGCTTCCTGTGTCTTGGTCAATTCCAACCATGTGACATCTTCCACAATGTCCTGCAATCTTCAGGTTAATCACAGAGGGAGCATATTCATTTTGGACAAATCCGCAGTTGAAGATTTCATCATTTATCTCAAAGTGTCAGCTCACCATGAATTGAGTACTGCCAATAACCAAGTGTGACCAATTATCCTCCTCAAACGGTTCGACACCAGCGATGACTAAATTGGCCCGGAA